GACTACCAATCCATGACTCTCTCCACACTCCATGTGCGTGCCCAAGCGGCGATCATCATCACGAAAACGTCCCTCTATGGATAGCAGCATTCGCTTACACGGGAACCCGCCCTTTATTTAGTGCAAACTTGACTTGCCTTCTCAACACCATCGTCAATCTCGAGTGGATGTCTGCTTCACCATCCATCCAACACAGCAACGACACAGACGTGCCCCAGGGCCACCTTGTTGTAATGTCTCATTCTGCTACCCTGGTGAGAAGTCACTCCGTCGTCTCCCTCAGGTGATGAACGGCCGTTTAAGCAAAACATTTCGGACATCTGCTACCCCCATTGTGCTTCAACCAAGCCGTATTATTGCACCCGCGCCTATCTCGGTCTCTTGACCACAGCCTCATTCTCGCTGCATTGCAGCACGCATCAGCCGCTGCGCCATTCTTTGGTTCGCACGTCCCTCTCACCGCAGCCGATGTGACCACCCGCGGAAGAACGAAACTAGCTGCTGATCGAGCCGCGAGCCGATGAACGCTGTCGTCTTATGCTATTATTTGGAGCTTGGTATAAGCGCGAGAACAGCGGAGAAAAAGTCCACACCATGGAGGACGTCTCTAGTCGCCCTTGTGATTCAGAATAGATAGTGCCTCCAGACTGGTCTGTCGGCACCGTTGCATCAAGCTATTTCTCATGTTTGACGCTGACTTTGTCCAGCAGTACACGTGGACTACCGGCAGACGCTCTGTCCTTCCCAATTTTGCCAGGCAAGGAGCGCATCTGCTAAAGAGCCTGCGTGAAGACCTCACATCATTCGCCATCATCTGCGATTCGCTGGCTGATCTGGACCGTCTCGGCACTCAAGCTCGCAGTAGTTGAAAACAACTTACCAGGATGCAGCCGCTTTTATCGGGAGGGGATGACCCAGCAATCCAATGATATGAGTCGGAGAATTTACGGTATTGGCCGAATGTCAAACTCGCACAGGCGCACAGCGGGGAGGCTTTGCATGAAGTCGCATGAATGACGACCCCAACGGACGAAGAGGATTGGACGACGAAACAAGCATATCGAGAAAACTGCCACTGGCGACGTAACGATACCGAAACTTCATCCATTATCCTCTACAGTACATCTTCAACCGCTGGTGCTGTATTCATCGCTTCGCCATGGTGAAAGACATCCAACAGCCAGACTAGCCAATGCGTTCGATTATATCGACGACGGGGCGGAAGTCCACTTGCAATCATGGCTTCGTCGACGGGAGTGTTTAGTGCTGCACTAGGTCAAAGCCTGTTCATTCGGAGACTCGGGAAGCGGCGAGTCAAACTAAGCCTTCGGTCCCGATGGCACTAACAAGAGATTGACGTTGGGGCTTTGAACTTTGACATCGACACAGGCCGTGGACAATTCCTTCGACAGAACAGACCGCTCAGCACCAATGGCTTGAAGTTTGTCCTTAGGGTACCACGAACGGTCTCAAGTCTTTCTAGATTCCGCTCGGTGGCTTCGATTCTCGGCTGCTTAAACTTCTGTCACTTGCATGGCGACATGTCACTGAGTGCCACGAACCCGCCAGCCCAGCGTCATCGACTCGGGCAACGGTACGGATAAGCACAGCTCTCCATCCGTTGAAGCAACATCGCATACCTATGGCTCTGGGTCAACGGGTCCATTCGTCTAGTCACCGGCTGTATCCTACAGTTTTTACCTCACCATCGGAAGTTGGTTTCACCTTAATTTGCCTACAACTCACACTTGGAACGCTCGCCGAATTCCAGTCGCCAAGCTTTCTTGGGTCCAGCACTATGAGCGGCCCAGCACTTGTTCCCGTCTCCACGTTCTTGACGTTAATCGTATCACCAATACTGCTCAAGGAAACAACGGCGCCTTTAGATCGCTGAAATGCCTAGGATCCTCCCGGTCTGTCAAACACGGCCAACCCCAATAACCGTTGTTCGCTATGACTCCCTTTTCCCCTTCCCTTCGTTCTTAGGCGCGGAAACAACAAGGCCTAGAGAATACGCCATGCTCAAAACGACAGCTGAGCCGGTCGCAATTGTCAAAGCGTCCCAATTACTTCATCGTTGCTCATGGCGAACGTTGATGGATCGACCACTAGCTCTTCTATATTCATCCTGGACCAGAGCAACGTGCTGACGACGTGCCCGCAGCTGACGAATACTACCGCGCATCCTGCGCACTCCTCACTACTCCGTTCGTGCTCGAGTCTGTAGCGCCCCGAGCCGTCTCGACCCAGTCGCAATCTCCGTGAAATAGTAGGCTGCGAATCTCGGCTCCGGTTATGAGTTGGCATGGGTCTCTTCAATACCTACAAGAATGATCACGCCGCTAGAAGCTGGAGTCTTGTTACTGTCCGAGCAGCCCTTGAAAGCTTTCGAATCTACTAATCCCCACGCGTCTATCCGTACGGAGTACCAAATATTCTTCGGTCTACGGATATCGACCAGGAGGTCTGGGTAGGCACGTTGGCCGGACTTCACTCCCGAGGTAAGGGGCCCCTGGTTCATCTTCCACGAGCCCAACAGCAACCTTGCCATTAAGATCAACATGGTTTCCACGTCTCTGTTTCCTCTTAGTGGCCCGAACGCCAGGTTCTGCGGCGCAGATAGGTATGATGGAGCATACGAAAGTGTGAGGAGTCAAGTGAGGTCAAACTTGACTCAAGCCATTGCGTAGGCAATTTGACGACCGCGTGCTGACGGGTAGCGGCGTCTATCCGAACAACGTGGGGTTTTGCTCAATTTACCAAGTATTCACGTATTGGGCCGCACACACGGATTTGATGTGTCTTTGAAGAAAGGAGTTCGCACTAGACGTGGGGTTTACAATCACTTCATCGCTTTTTTTCGACAATATCCATGGCCTGGTCAACTCTTGCAGACTTTGGTCTAAAAGACCTCGAAATTGAGAGCAGAGAGGCTACCACTGAGATGTCGACGGCCATCTTCATTCTACAGTAACTCGCTGCACCTTAGACAACGGTGACGGGACGTACGGATACGGACGCAGATACTCGTCCATCTCAAGACGAAGATCAAGTTGTCAAGACCTCCTCAGGCTCCTATCCTTCTATGGGACCGATGAGAACCTAGGTGGGCTGTGGATCCAGGTATCCTGGGAGGTGCAGCATACACGTCTGAAATAGGTTGATCTCCGCCCCAGGCCACTCCCCTATCCTGAGCAATTGCCAGGGCCCCTGGTTTCTTGGCCTCCCAACGAAGCTCCCCCTATCGACGAACCATCTCGACACTGGCTGCCCGAGAGATCAAAGCTCCAATTGTTCATTAATGCAGGGGGGCTTTACTCACCTTAGAAGCGGTGGCAGGACAATATCGGAGTCGACTGGGTTTACCGTTTTGCAACGAGCAGAGCGCCGGGATCGTGGATCCTGAGTGATGTCAATATCGCGCCGTTGCATTTTTAGATGGGCCGTATTGGAATATGTTCGCCTGGTTGAGGAACCTCATATCCGACAACTTAACGAGACAGATCAATATTTCATCTCGAAGCCTTGGCTTGAGGAGACAATCGCGGCTAGGACACATCATCGGTGCACTCGACACGATGCCATCAATCTTGCACCCGGTTTGGGACTTCCGCCTCTATTAGGGCCTGAGATAGCCAGCGCCAGGGCTGGTGGTCAGTGTGCGCGGACGCATCCGCGTTGAGATCGGCCGGCTACAGCCTGGTTCATGACCGTGCTGGCGCGCTGCGATGCTCCAGCGTCGTCACATTCACACGGACTGGGGCGACTTCTTACACCCCGCACTTGAGACCACCTCTGCAACGACGTCGTATTCTTCACATCGCTTATGCCGTAAACGGGTCACGAAAATCCAGCGCGAAATGAGGCATGGTGAAAATGACTGCTGTACTCTCTGGAGTCAGAACCCAGGATTCGCCATACTCATAGTCATGAGACCACGAAGCAAATCCTCAACGGAACAGCGGCAGCGGACAGAAAATGAACCGCAACGCCATGGTACAGATGTTGCAGTGCGAATGGATACTGAATTGGCGCACGGCACTCAGCCAAAATCGAGGGTTTTTAAAGTTACGTCAACGCCTGACAGGAAGAACTCGTGGCCCGGGCCTCGAAGATCTCACAACATCTGCTGAGCCGGTGCTGTATTGTACGAACGGAGGGATTCGCCCTGTGAAACACTGACGATGAACAACGCCGTTGATTCCCTCGCTATCAGGAGCTAGCTATCTGCGCCATCAACTCTTCCATCTTATCTCGCGTTGTCTAGGCCAACAAATCTCCACCGGCCAAGTGCCGTATCACGCCAATGAGGACCGAAACTACAACATCAGATTCACGTGTAGCTTGTTTCTAGAAATGAGCACCGTCCACACAGCTTTCCACATGCACGTTCGAATGTACTAAAGTTCACTTGTGTCGTCTTATCCAGGTCGCTATCATGTCTGGCCGCAGACCGTTGATGCTGATGATGAGACGACCCCGATCTTGTCAGCCGGCATCCATCCGCGAGGAAGCAACTTCATATGCCGGAAACAAGCTTTCTAAACAACCTCAGTGGAGACAAGGTGGTGACACCTCGATTGCGAGGGGATAGCAAGGTGCCATCACTGGGAATATGGGCAGCAACCATTGTAATCTCAGTCGTTGAAGCCCCCACGTTCTCGAGGAATAGCACGGTACGACACAGCAGCAGGCACCTTCCTTCACATGGACCTCGCTATCCCAAGCGAAGTAAGGATCTGACTTCGAAACAACCTGCCATCGTTCCCATATTTCTGGCATCCCAAGCTTATAACACATGCAGTAATGACAGGCACTAGAGTCTGGTTCGTCGCAGACCCATGGTTAGCGCCATTGCCTTACATCGCTTACAACTCCCTCGAAACTTGCTTTACAACAGTCTCGGGATGCGGCTGTTTGCTCACATTCCACAACGAGGCCTATACCAGAGTCTTCTCAACGAAGTTCTGGCCTCGAGCCTGGTTTCCTCCCTAGTTGATGTCAACGATGGACTGTGTGACACATTGATAACACTATGGCCCCGTTCGCACGCTGTCTGGTAAGCCACTGGACTGCAACCTTGCAAGAAGAGGAAGATGTGGATTTGCACACATCATGGACAGCTAACATGCCTTCGAAGACACGTCAACTTTGTGGCGAACTGGTTTCAACCAAACTACCAAGCAATGATGGACATGGGCGAGGCCTTTGCCAATTCTCGCGTCCACCAGGTTCCGGTGACAGACAGCGGTCAGACCTCCGAGGCAAGAGCAAATCGTCAAATCACATAAGACATGTCACTTTTCTAGTTATGGATGTGTCTGACCGCGGTATTGTAGGCATAGTTGCCCATCTGAGAGAGATTCCAATCTAGCATGTCTACGGAGTACCTCGGTGGCAGACACACCTTTGCCTGCTTCAAGTGCGGGGTCGAAACAGCGTTTCATCCAGGAAACTCGACCTGGTAGTCATCTGCGGTTTATGATTCGTCAATGGCAAGGAATTCACAAGTGCGGATAATCTCTCTATGACAGCGACGATACGGAGAAGAGTGCGTGGATAAGATCTCATCCCCGACAGAAGCCAAGCCACTTGACCGCAGTTACGGTTGAAGGCGAACGGAGAGATGCAAGGCCAGCGACGGGGGAACGACCAAAGTTCAGTATCTACCCCCGCGCGGCGTCACCTCGAGGTTCCAAGACCCAGTCTACCAACACATGAAGGTTGTATTAATGTGTTGCCTGAGGGGGGGCAATTGCGAAGCAGGGGATGCGACATCTAGGGACACTATCACGAAAGGTGGAGGGCAAAGCATCACTCTATGGCAGAAGAGTCAAGACTCGTGTAGCAAAACGTGGCAAAACCCTTGACAAAACTGCATTTGGTCGCAGATTTGAGCGGCTAGCCAACCCTACGAGTTTGTCCCCGGTTGGTCTCGGCCTCGACCTAGGGATGCTAACCTGGCGAGGCTACTTCATGTTGAAGGGTTGAGGAGATTCCGTCCAGCGCAGTCAAGAAGTCCCGACATGGATGTGTGTGGCCCGTGACGAAGGGATCAGCATGCGGAGTATTCTTTCGTCGTATAATTTTTTTGACTTTGACACCCGTCTCGGGACCTGCATGTCAACGGGCATGTTCGGGAGAGATCAGCAGTCAATCCCCATCCAAGTTTCCAATTTTCTCCGACGAGTACGGCAGCGCAAATGCCGGAGCCACATGGTTGCCAGGCCCTTTCTCCTTCTCAACTAATACAGCAACGACTTCGGACAACAAGCTGGGATCCGAAAGGCACTGTATTCGACAGACGTCAGCCATGACAAGAGTGATCAGTCACCGTCGAGTTCACTCTTCCACAATCACCATGGCACGCCGTCGGAGTTGCAGAACTGTCAGAGGCTAGTGGAGATGAAAGTGAATGGCGCCAGGCGAGACCCTGAGACCCTTCAAATTTTAAGCTACGGATACAACAATGGACTCACAGACACGCACTCTCTCTCTCTCTCTCTTCCTCTGGCTGTCTCGACGTTAAGGTTTGGCCAATGTTCCCAGGCTGTCATGTCAAGATCTTGTCGCGGCCCCTCAATCAATTCCTAGCGCGGAAAACACGATCGGACTTGTGCTCCCCCGGCCCTTGTCCAAGGCCCTCACTTACATTGCATTACTGCAATCTACGGCAACGCACAAACAGGCCGCAGCTCGCAGTAGCAGTCTGCCTGCCATCATCACCATCAATGGACGGAGCACGCAACGCTCAAACACGGGCCTCTTCCGTCGAGCAGTATATGCCTTCTGGACATCTCTACCACCCATACGGCCCCCTCGCTTTGGCTTTCGGTGCCAGGCCGAGCCCTCCCGGCGCAAGACCAAGACTGGCTTTTCGGGCAGTATTCCTACACTTTCATATCCGGTATTCGGTCATTCGGCACCGATCCGGTCTCTGGCGGTCTCTGGTGAGGTTTGTAAGGAGCACCGTCCTCCTGGTCCCTCTCTTGGCGAACTCGGCCGACTACCCCCGCTTCGGAGCAAGACCGATGCTAATTCCCCCTCTTCGGGCCCCAACGCAAACAGAGAAAGAAAAGCCACGCGTCGTGCCTGGCTTCCGGCACAACTCCCTGCTAAGCTTGAATTCTTAGCGTCCCTCTTGCTTGGGAAAACGCTATTCAGCATGATCTGGGGGTCCTCCAGTCACAGCTCGGCCACGCCGCACCAGTACCTACCACTGCTGTGACTGAATATGAGCTAGACTGGGAGGGGCAGGCCGACACTGGCATTCTGGCCCCCCTTTTCCCGGTCTTGGCTTCAACGGGTGCGCTCCGCGGATGCTGCTGGTCCATGAAGCTCCCAGGACAAGGTCACCACGCACCTGCAGTGGCGCGAAACCGCGATTCCTCCAGCGTTGTAGACAAGAGAGGGCCAGATAAAGTCAAGGAGAAAGCGTCCATACTCGAAAGGTGCCCATTCTCCGGCGAATCCTGCGTGGCTGAAGTCTTTCGCAGCGGAATCTCACCTCCAAAACGGCATCGCTCTGCATTCCACACCCTGTTTGTAGCTCTTATCACCGCTTGCCACAGACTCACAGACTCCCAGGCTAGATCATGCCCTCCAGCCTCCAGCCTCCAGGCCTTGATAAAATTCGCATTCAGCGAATCCTCATGGCCTCGCCCCTGCACTGCCTTACCTACTTGCTGCTCAGTGAGTTTCCAAGCTTTCGTTTATCAGAGCTGACAAGCCAGGGGCCCAGCCCAACAACGCCATTGTAACAGCCTGGCTAGCGAGACACTCGTTCCCGTCTTCCAGGAACGAGGAACGAGGTCTTCTCCTGTTCGTCAATAGTCGTGATCAAATTTTGCGTTGTCCGAAAGCCCATTGCCATACATTCGGGCTGTTTCACGACGGCACGAGGAAAGTGCACCTGTTCTTGCACAGCCCGGCCCATCCCGAGCTCAACTTTCACAAACCTCTCTCGGCCAAACAAATATCGGCAAATATTGCACAAACTGGACGGATATTCCCAGCGTGGTAGTTCGCATCTTATCATAGGCAACGCCACATATAACGCTATAACGAAGAACTGCTGCAGCCGCCCCCCTTTCAATCTCCAACCATCCCCTCCCCTCCCCTACCGCCGTGGCTCCCCTCTCTTTCACCGAGGAAACGAGCGAGACCCCTGCTGGCTGTTGAGACTCCGGTTGGACGCGAGCTTCCAGAAGAATGTGGGTTTCTCTTGTGACAGGGTGACAGCGCGCCCCCATCGAGTGTGGGGTAAGGGTGGTCGGACAAGCTCCCAGCTCCCCCCTCAAGGCTCAAGCCCCGAGGGCCCTGAGTAAATGAATAAGACGGAATCGTTATTGATGATGGGGGGCATGGATCTCTGCGATTGAGATTGAGAGAGGCCGTTTGGTATCCGCAAGCTTGCGGTCTTTTGCTGGGGTCTAACGTGCAAATATAACAATATCCTTTGCTATACTAAGCTTTCACTCAGGGAAAGTTGATCGCTCTGAGGATATTCGCCCGGTATGAGGTTGGATCTTTTATTTCTCCTCGGTCGCAAGAAGCGATATTGCAAAGAGGAAATGGAAGTGTCGGTATTGGGAGGCTTCAAGCGATTATACCCGGATACGTAACGACTGCCACCCAGGCAATCCAATCCGTATCCGTACACTACGAGACTGGACTGGATGGAGACTTTTGCTGGGCGGCCTCTGCCTGTGGGCTTTCTTAGTGGGGTTTTCCTTCGCCTACAACCATGGAGATACCCGTGGCAACCGTCACGATGCAGGTTTTGTCACATATCTCGCATCCACCCATTTTAGCCGGAGGAGGAGCCTAGGAGGAGGAGCCCTGCACTCTCTCTCTCTCTCTCTCTCTCTCTCTCTCTTGTCTGCCAACCCCCGGAGCTGGGTTTGGAACGCTCTTGGTATCCACAACTCACGCCATGCCGCGCCGCCGGTGTGACCGCGAGGGGCAGTAGCCACGGCCGCGGATGCAGAGCAATCCCTTCCACGGTTCCCAACCCCTGCACTCCTCGCGATGCCCCGTTGGGATACTGCAAGAGTCAAGTGCGAACCGGTCCAGGCGAATTGGGAACGAGCGGTTCGGGGCCTTGTTCACGAGGTGGAAGCGGAAAGAGGCAGGAGGCCGAAAAAAGAAGAAGAAGGTCAGGCTGCAGGCCCGCCACCATCTCAGGTTCTGCAGTCACGATGACTTGTGTCAGGTTTTTTTTTTTTTGTTCCAGATGCAGATGCAGATGCAGATGCAGCTCAGATGCGGGAAGGGGTCTACGGATACAAAGATCGGGCCGGATCAATACCTACGAAAAGGAGGGTGTTGACGGGAACGGGAAAGGGAGGTGGGAGGTGGCTGCCAGCCACGAGCGAGACGACCTCTTGCATCGCGAAGGGGAAACTGAATCGGGTGAACCGCCACATTCAACGACGGGCTAGCTGTATTTCTGACGCGTCATGCTCCAGCTTCAGGAGGAAACGAAGCCTCCAGGAGTCGTGGCCATTGTTCCCAGCATCATGATCGGCCATTGGGGCCCTGCCCGTCCTATCCTCTATCTCTCACCCTTCTCTCCCCTGACGCACGCACGTGGAAGAAGGTCTTCCGTTGGGAGCAGTTTGTTTGATTGTGAATTCCGAAACCCCTCGTGGGAAGGGAGATGGGTCAGACGGGACATCGAACGAACTGCTTGTCGAGGTATCTACTGTGTAAGGGGGTCATCGACGTCCAGGTCTAGGTCTAGGCCACGAGCTCTGAGCCGGGTGGGCGAAGGAGACTTTTCGTCCGGTTTCTCACCCCGGAGAGAGAAGTTTTGCTGTTCAGGCCAGTGTCGACAAGCTCTCTCTGTCTCTCGGTGGTTGTACGAAGGTATGTGGGAGTATATGATCTCATGCGGCAGCGGAAAAGGGGTGGACGGTGACGGGTGGCTTGGGGGAACAGAAACGCAGGACAAGGGGAGGATAAGTCGGGACGGCGGCGAGGCAGGCACAAGGAACAGCTTGGGCAACCCCCCCCCCCCCGTATCCCGGAGTGCAAGACGGCCCAGAGGTTTCTACGTCACGCAGGGAGATCCCATCCCCGGGGAAAGGCAGCGCCGTTTCAGGATGTTGGTCTTGTGGTTCACCTCGTTCAACTCCGTTCTGGCGTCTGCAGCTTGCAAGTTCGTGTGGGTTCGAGATACGGGAGATACCCCGTGCTAGGCTCGCGTGAGGTTATCGACGGTTGGGTTTTCTTGTGTGCCTGGAGTACCTGGAGTTTGAAAGACAAGTGTGATGGCCAAGGGTTCCAGGAGAGCCGATGGTCCGGTCTTTGATGCGTGCGTTGCATCTCATCTAGAGTGATGAGGGATGGCCATCTCGATGGCGGCGCCGTTGAATGTCGTGCTCAAGCCACGGCATTTGTTCGATTGTGATGGCCCATGGGTACTTTGTAGATGGGTGGAAGAAGCAAGCAATCGTTCGCCTGGCCTGTCTGCTTCTTGCATCTTGGGACGTTTCGGATGAATGCTGAAGACTTGTGAGGGTTTACCACCTGGTGAAACAAACGTGAAGTGGGGGCTGGAAAAGAAGCAGCCCTGTCTGACACTTGTGGCTTGACGGATGCAGATAGAGTGTGGCTGGGAGATATGTGGCTTCGAACGTTGCCAAATTGACCGGGCTGTGGCTGGCCATCCTGTCCCACGTGTGGCTGAAGCTACCCCTCTACCTTAGTCCGAATGTGGCAAGTGCTACCAACAACATCACGAGAGGAGTTGAAGACATCCAATTTCTGGAGACTGGAAGCTCCGCAAAGTCTGTAGTTTTTCACACACATGTGGCGATCCCTTCTTGCAAAGGGTTCAATTCCTCTCAGAACAAGCTTTACCCGCCTCACGAGCCTCCAGAGCCGCGCAGCCGCCTTCGGCACCACAACTGCAAAGATGGCGTCCACCACCTCGGCCAACAGAGACCCAAACACCCTGTCCAACTATGGCGCGTGGCTGACCAAGCACACCACTACGAACTTGACCATTGACTTCAAGGACAAGTCTCTCAAGGGCTCCGTCACCCTCGAGCTCGAGTCCCTGACGGACAGCCAGAGCAAGGAGATCATCCTCGACTCGAGCTTCCTCTCCATCTCGGGCGTCAAGGTCAACGCCGCCATATCGACCTGGGAGCTCAAGGACCGCGTGGAGCCCTATGGTGCGCCTCTGCACGTCTTTGTTCCCCAGGGCGCCGCCAAGGGCGAGGTGGTCAAGGTTGATGTCGACCTCGCTACGACGGATAAGTGTACCGCCCTGCAGTGGCTCACGCCCGCGCAGACGAGCAACAAGAAGCACCCTTACATGTTCTCCCAGTGCCAGGCCATCCACGCCCGCTCGCTGTTCCCCTGCCAGGACACACCAGACGTCAAGTCGACGTACAGCTTCGTCCTCGCCTCGCCTCTGCCCGTCGTCGCCAGTGGTGTCCTCGTTGAGGGCTCCGGTAAGGATGAGAAGAAGGGCGACGACACGGTCTACCGCTTCGAGCAGAAGGTCCCTATCCCGTCGTACCTGTTCGCCCTGGCCTCGGGTGATATTGCCACGGCACCCATTGGCCCGCGGAGCATCGTTGCCACGGGACCTGATGAGCTCAAGGAGTCGCAGTGGGAGCTGCAGAATGATATGGAGAAGTTCATGGAGGTTGCGGAGAAGCTTGTCTTCCCTTACCGGTGGGGCCAGTACAATGTTCTCGTGCTGCCGCCTAGTTTCCCCTATGGTGGTATGGAGAACCCGATTTATACGTTTGCGACGCCGACCATCATCAGCGGTGACAAGCAGAACGTCGATGTTATTGCGCATGAGCTGAGTCACTCGTGGAGTGGAAACTTGGTCACCAGCTGCAGTTGGGAGCACTTGTAAGTGGGAGTTCAATGTGGTTACTTGTGATAAAGGGGTAGCTGACGATGTGATTTAGCTGGTTGAACGAGGGCTGGACCACATATCTTGAGCGCCGTATCGGCATGGCTGTCCACGGTGACGCCGAGCGTGACTTCTCCGCCATCATCGGCTGGAAGGCCCTCGAGGACGCTGTCGCCCTAAACGGCGCCGACTCTGAGTTCACCAAGCTCATCATCAACCACAAGGGCATCGACCCCGATGACGCATTCAGCACCGTCCCCTACGAGAAGGGCTTCCACTTCCTCTACTACCTCGAGCGCCTCGTCGGCATGGACGCCTTTGACAAGTTCATCCCCCACTACTTTACAAAGTGGTCCCGCAAGTCCCTCGACTCATTCGAGTTCAAGGACACCTTCCTCACCTTCTTCAACGGCCTCGGCGACGAGGAGATCAAGACCAAGGTCGCCTCCATCGACTGGGACACATGGTTCTACCAGCCCGGCCTCCCGCCCAAGCCCGTCTTCGACACCACCCTGGCCGACGTCTGCTACAAGCTGGCCGAGAACTGGAAGGACGAGTCCTTCGAGCCCTCCGCCGAGGACGTTGCCTCCTTTTCTGGAAACCAGAAGCTCGTCCTCCTCGAGACTATCGAGAAGTTCCCGTCCCCGCTGTCCGCTGACCGCGCCAAGCTGCTCGGCACAACGTACGACCTCGTCTCGTCGCGCAACGCCGAGCTCAAGACGGCGTACTACAAGATTGCGCTCGCCGCCGAGGACTCGTCTGCGTACCAGGGCGCCGCGGAGCTGTTGGGCCACGTTGGCCGCATGAAGTTTGTGAGGCCGCTGTTCCGGTCGCTTAACAAGGTTGATCGGGAGCTCGCGCTCAAGACGTTTGAGAAGAACAGGGACTTTTACCACCCCATTTGCCGTGGTATGGTCGAGAAGGACCTTGGACTTGTGTAAATTAAGTAAGCTTTCGAGGTTTCGATCACCTTGTGAGGCGTTGCAAAATGGAAAATTGAAAAAGAATTAGTAATCGTCGGTGTGGAAGAAAACTTTCCAGTCTGCGATGAGGTACTACGAAGATCACTACCTCTGTATTGCTTGCTTCTAAGTCAAGGAAACAGTAGCGTCTTGTTGTAGCGTCCTACAATGTGGATCGAGGTTGTTCTTATCCGCCCCTACGAGCCGTAGAAGGCGTTGCGTCATGTCAATCCCATCATTCTGACAATATGCACGGCAGACAGCCCATGAGAGGTAGGCCAATTTGACATCGGAGGGTCTTGGAATTTTGTCAAGTTCGCTAGATCTGAATCTGTTGTATTCTTTGGTTGTGGGATGGGATAATGGAGGCTTTGGAGCGTGAGATGGGCACTTATCGGGCGTGAAGAGACTGAATGCCTCAACTAGAATGAGTGATCGTCAGAATAGATGTACCACCTTGGGCATTTCTAGGCACACGCATGGAAAACTGACGTAGAATAGAGTGGCGACACATATGTCAAAAGGTACCCCTCCACCTTGACTTCTGCTAACGCCGAATTGCCACGGGCGATTCTGAGCACACGGTACCAAGTTAGCGAAGAGAAGTGCCTGATTTCAGTCTCATGACGTCGGTACAACGCCTTGCTTTACCTCCACTGCTGCCCCTCTGAGCCGGATAAGCCCGTGATTTAGTTTTGCGAGGCACACGCGGGGAAAGTTGGCAGAGAACAGATTAGCGACATACGTTGAACTTTGATCCGCCCACGATCGTCTTGGTTTCCAGCGGCAACATCTTATCTGCTTCTCCTCTTCTTTTCCCACGATGCTATGGCCTTTTGAATATCGTCTTGATTACGTTCATATGCCACCTCCCTGGGTGTCAACCCATCTTGGTTTCTTCCCTGAGTGTTTGCCCCATGCTCCAGAAGAAGTTCAACCATAGAAACGTCGTCTTCTGCAATTGCGAGGAAGAGCAATTCCGTTATCTCTTCAGGCTCTACAGCACCTCGTCGCGGTAAAACTCCCAGAAGGAATCGAGCCATATCTTTGTCCCTCCTCTTGATGGTTGCAGATAGCAGTTTGCCAAAGTTTGCGTACATAGCAGCCCCTCGTTCAAAGAAGAAACGAACAATGTTTGAGTGCCCATTTTTGTTGGCGACAAGCACAGACTCTCCATGCACTGGTTTGACCAATCCTGGGGTCGCATTCAGTAGCAGACGAACAATATCTTCGTGGCCATCCCGAGACGCGATAAACAACGGCGCTGACTTGGTAGGGTCTGCTCCATAACCCAAGACCATCCTCGAAATGTCTCGATTGCCTGCTTGAGCTGCTCCCAACAGAGCTTCGTCAAATTTGCGCCTGTTTGCGTTCACATTGTCCCCCAGTACAAAGTCCAGAGTCGGTCTGTAGCCACACGCCGCGGCCAATGAAACTAGCGAATCGCCACCTCTGGCAGCCACGTTCGCCATACCTCCATTTTCTGAAAGAAAGTCCTTCACGATCTCTGTGAGCCCAAAAAATGTCGCTAGGTGAAGACTCGTCCAGTACCGGGAGAAGCTCTGCTTTGGCAATCTGTTCCAAACCAACTTGATGTTTCGTCTCAGTGTCTCGATGACAAACTGGACTGTTCGAGGGCTGTGAAGGAACACCTTGACAACTTTGTATGATCTACTCTCTCTCAAGTTTTGTTCTTGTCCGAAAGCTTGGAATGCGTGGCGTCCCCAAGTCATAGCAGCATGAGTGAAAAGTGGATACCTTGCTACATAATATTCGAAGCCGCTTTCCGTGTCTTCGGTGATGTCCGTGATTCTTGTCAAGTATTCACAGAACACACATGTCTGATCTTCTGCCGCCGTAGGAAACCATGTCATCTGGGATAATCGTTTGCTGTATGGTGGAATAGTTGAAGAAACCCGTCGGGACTAAGAGTAACAAGTCCCGAACACCAGAACAAAAGCTTGTCCATGTCTTGAAGTTGGTCGGGATCGAATTTCGTCGCGGATTGTATCATGTTTTTCGCTGCCTTCTCTTGACTGATCTAATTCCGCTTGCAGAAGCAAGATTTCTTTCATGTTTTCGAGGTTGAAACGGGTCGGGGACCTCACGACCCAAGCAAGGAGTTCGGTGGCAACCGCAAACCCTGACGAGTCTTGGTTACGCTTCATTTCAGGTTACGCTTCATTTCAGCTCTATAAAATATATCAATCAACTTGTTTTGTTGCTCCCCTGCTGTAAAATTCTTCGTCCATTCCGCAGATATAGATTCGAGAATGATCGTGGCGAACGAGAAACTATTGCCATAAGCGTTTGTTTTATGTTGGCCGATGATACAACTTACATCTCTCTAGAGAATTTCACAACTCGTGTTTCTGCCTCATCTAGCTTTTCTGAGTCGAGGTGCAACGAGGGGGTGCCACGCCGTATGACTGCTCTAGCATAGCGTCTCAAATCATGCTCAACAGCACAGACACGCACAATCTGCCAGCGTCCAAAATGCCGGCAGACATGGTTAATCGACCTCGAGGTTACGAATAGGTTCGTGCCGAATCGTTTTGATAAAGAAACCAGACACTTAAACAATAAGTGCCTTTGATCGCTCCTTAAGATATCGAAACCGTCAATGATGATGAATAGCCTAGATACTTTACCCGCTGCTTCAGCGAGAACGTCCAAAAGAGCCAACAGCGAAGGCAGCTTGCCATCTTTCAGATAACCCTTGTGGATGGCTCGAAGAAGCTTCGGTAGCCTATGTGCGCCATGAAGTTTCTGGCTCTTAAGACTTCGAATCAGGGTCTCAGTGGTCCGATTTCGACGTTGAGATGGGCAGAAGTAATATGCGACGCGAGATTCGGGTGATATGAACCGTTCCGTGATGTCGTTGACTATTGAAGCTGCCAAGACAGATTTGCCGGTACCTGGTGAGCCAGGAAGGAATATCATTTGTCCCTTATCAGAAATCGATGATCGATACTCCATGGTGTCGAAAAGCCATTCGAGAGTGCCAGGGTGCCGCTGCTTGAGGAAGGTGTTGAACGCTGCTGTGTAGTCTTCTGGAGCAAGCCAGTCCCAAATCTCAATGCCTGTGTCTGTTTTAGGAACATCACCCATCCCTAGCTTGGATACCGGCTTGCTAGTCTGAGGGCCTGTAGACTCAATCTCAGAGACCGGTGGGGGCAAGGAACCTGCATCGGAGAAGGCCAGATTGACTGAATTGTGCCACAGACCCTCCACCCTGAGGAACTCCCGAACCGCTTTTTGTTGATTGATCGTCACTATCTTCGTCGTCATCTTCATTGGCTATGCCTCTTGGTACCGAGAATAAAGCGAGCTGTTCCATGTGAGAAGCCATGTGGCCGGCGAGATCCTCTTCAAACGGACCAGGTGACTGACAAAAAGGACACTTTGGCCGCGAGTCCTGTGTGCTGGTATGAGCATGTTTCGATATTTATTGAATCTGAGCATTCGTGAGTGTGTCATGGAACAGTTCGAAATGCCGTGCTAGTTCGTCCTTTGATGCAAACAGGTCTGAATGCCCAAAGCACCTCCAAACCCTACGATGAACCTGAGACTCGTGCCCGATCCAGGAGTTCTTACTAGTAAACATCATGTCGGGATCTTCACAAGACGGATAGGTGCATTGGTAGGGTTGAAGGTCTTGCATGATATGATCCCTACAGCTGTTAGATTGAGCCAGTCACGTAGTGAATATGACTGACCTCCAGTGTCTTCCCCTAGAGTATTTTCTAGGGCAAAGTACATAGCAGTATGGGCATACGAACTCTGACTCCCAATACAATAGCTTAGGGGGCTTTGGCAGATGAGTAGTCTTGCCTTCTTCGCTAAAATATGTTGAGTATGAGGTGGTAGATGAAGTGTCGGTCACATCCATCTGCACTGGCGTCCGGGTGGCTTCCGTTCCGGATAGAACTGTACTGCCCTAGGAACTTGGGGCCGGCAGCGACTCCGGATTCGTCATCCGAAGAACTAAAGGTGGAAGTGAGGCTGGAATGATACCGGTCGTGTCTGGTGTCCGACTAATGCTTTGGCTTTTTTGGCTTCCTTCAGATACCGGTTCGGGACCACGCTTAGCCAGCTTCCGAGCATGTCTTCGCCAATAAGCCAAAACCCGACGTCTGACAGTCGTTGCTTTGCTTCAGCGGTCTATGAGTCTTTTATCATTGTCTTTGAATATCGAGGCCTTGACATGCGACTGGGATCTTTCATAGTCGACTTCGTCCGAGGTGGTATGGACAGCTGTTTTAGGTTTTAAGAATGTCGCTTCGGAACTTTTCCTCAGCTGGAGAATCCACTCTTCTACATGCCGCCGGTCAAACACAGAGTATACTGAGAACACATCGACAGTGTTGCGTTCTTCGTCCTGGGCGAACTATTTGTGTTTCATGGCTTTGCGCGCCGTTTGTAAATCCCTAGGGCCAAACCCTCTGATCCGGAAAGAGATCTTTACCAGCGATGATATTATATCATCGATTTCCTCCGAGTTCTGACCCAATTCGGTTTGCGATTCATCGTCAGTACTTTTCTCGAGTTCATCGGAGCAGCTGCTGGAACCGGAAGAGTCGTACTCGTGGGCCTGAGGATGGCTCATAGCCTCAACCAGCATCTTCTCTTTCGGTTGCCTCTTTCCTCCGACAATTTCAGTGCCTGTTTGGTTGATCAGCTATCGCACCGTTTGTACCTTTGTAACAATAACATCATACTTTCGCTCACAGATTTCTGCAACTGGTTCAGGAATTTCAAGACCATATTCTGCAAGAGAGGTGTGTCCATGAGGGGGAAATCGAGAGACGCCCTTCCGTGCTACAGCCCCCCGAGGCTGGTCGCCCATACTTTGAACCGATCACGTTGAGCCTCCACAGTCTTAACATCTAGCTTTCCTTCAGAATTTTGGTTTGGATGTTCTAATGTCGTTATGAGATATCTGAAGGCCTGCATGCATGCCCTGCTGGCTGCCGCTACTGGAAACGCTGAAGGCACCTCCATACTACATTCCGACAGAACAACCGACTGAATGAAGCTTCGTGAGAATTTCGATTACTATGCGTAACAGCAATTGTCTAGCCAAGTCCTCTGAAAGCGACCAGACAAGAAGACTTGAGAAACATTTGAGCGCGCCGCTGTCCACATGAGAGCTTGCTGATTGACGAGACTCTGCTGAGATTATTCGAATGCAGGAGCCAGACCAGTGTTTGTTTGGAGAGAAGTGAATACCGTTGTGAATGACGTTCTGTGTGATAAGGCTGTCACCGAGGCCGAAAAGAACACGAAGTCAAAAGAGGGGTAACCAAGGGCACCAATGGGGTTTGCTGACCAGTTTAATACCGCAACGTCATAAGCTCATATTGGTATTGCTGCAAGGCTACGGCGGCGAATGGTCAGCAGAGGACCTCCGGGCCGCTTTGTGGCGAGACATCTCATCTTCAAATCTATTCAGAGCCAGTAACTTCTGAACATATCGAATTGCGAGCTCTCTGATACCAACATTTATCCACAGACTCAGGACCTGTGTCATGTATCTCAGTCTCATACCTTGACTGAGAGTGCAATCTTCCGGTCTTGGGAGATGTGTCTACGATGGCCGAGGTTGCGGGGCTTGTTCTCGGCACTATTGCTCTAGTCATATCGGCATATGAGCACCGCAAGGCTCTCCTAGATCCTGCGGAGGCATTCTTCTACGGGAAGAAAGACTACGATAAGATCATACGAAGATTGCATATAGAGCACGCTTCATACGATCAGAACATACGGTTACTACTCATCCATGCTGTCAGCGAAGAAGAACTAGAGCAAATGATCAAAAACTCACAGGATTCTCTGTGGAAGAGCGCAGCACTCGCTCGCACTCTCAAGAAAGAGTTAGGAAGTGCGTATGAACCCACGATGGGCTTGTTGGAGGATCTCGGGGATCTTCTGATCAAGATCGTGGCCAAGCTAGGCATAGCTGGCTCAGATACGGTCCGAGTGAAATTCACTGGACGTGTTGAATCCTCATTAACTTGCTCCAAACTAGGTAAAGAAACAAGGGCTTGCAGTCTTCATCTCTTCAAAACCTCCTCGGTCGAGTTCTCAGGATCTTCAAGAGCGATTTAGGTTTGAGAAACGGCTTGACTTCACTTTCAAGAAGCGGTCTGTGGACAAAAAGCTCCAAGCGATTAATGACTTCAACACCCACTTGCGTATTCTTTTGCAAGGGGCAGATAAGATCAGTCAGCTTCAGCAAGACGAAGGCTCGTGCAGTAAGGCTCGCATTCAATTCGTAGGCCCCCTGCAAAGCATCCAGCAGAATGCTTCTCGACTTCACAGAGGACTCCATAAGAGATGGTGCGGAACGCATGACTGCCATCCAGCAGGACTTCTACTCGAACAACGGCTATACCGGAAAAGGGTTCACAGACAAGGTCTACTCAAAGATGGTGGGAATCTGGAACGATTCGAAGTTGCATTACCGAGAATCGGGGAGAAGGTATGGCTTGACATGGAAGTCCGTGTTCTAGGTGAAAGCATACCGGAATCCAGGTATCTACGCATCCTACCTCATTCAAAGATACAGAACTTTGCTGATCTTCGACTTTCGGAGTAGTCCCAAAGTACCCAAAATTAGATTTGACGTGCCTGGACCTTCATTTCCACCCGCTCCGCCGGCTTTAGAAATCAAGGACATTTGCTCTGCCATTGAAGGGGCCATGAATCCACAGACTGGACTAGATCTGGATTCTTCAGATGTCTTGCGGGGACTCTACGGTGTCGATACACAAGAACGTCATCTCGCTCAAGACCTAATGTCGCTGGATGCTTTCCTGGCCGCAAATACGATGCAACTAGGAATGGCTGACTTGCTGTGCCTGGCAGTCACTCTCGTATCATCCGTGATCCAACTTGGAAAAACACCATGGCTGGTACAGCCATGGAACCGGCATAATATTTGTCTTTCTACGTCTCAAGGGCGATAGGAACTCGCCGATAGATGCCAAGCACCCTTACTTGGCGTACAAGTACAAAACGTGTATGTTCACAACCGGTGTGTCTAGCTATCACCTTGTAGTCGTGCTAAACTGTCTTCAGCGGCTCAGGCGGGGCCTCCGCCCCAAACTTCCGACAGCTCCGTGATATTCTCCAGCCGTCAAAGGATGCTTTCCCTGGGCATCATGCTCCTGGAGATTCATTGCGGAAGACCATTAGAGAGCCTGACGAAGCAAGCCGATTTGGGTCGCGACGGCTTACCAAACGAAGAAACAAGCTATACCACTGCATCGAGGGTACTTGAAGAGCGAGGCAACGATGGCCAAGTATCTCCTGGCTTTAAAAGAGCCATAGAGTACTGTCTTCACTTTTCAAGGCAGCCAGATGCGTCCTTTGAAAATTCGGATTTCGTGCGGTCGATAGAAGAACACGTATTGGAGCCCTTGGAGCGTGAGATGCAACACTTCCTATTTGGGTGAGATTGCTAGGTTGGTCTAGGGGTCAGTTGTTTCATACAGAGCATTGTTCCATGGTGGGTAAAATGTGAAATTAGGTGCATACAAGCCAGGATTCATTGGTTGTTTATCACAAGTTTCAAGGTGCGTTGCTTAAGAAGATAGTTCGATGTTTCTAATTTATTTCCTTATGATGTTTGGCGATGTCAAATGAATCCTTCCCGAATCAAACATATCACAGCTTCGACTGCTCCTGCACTGAAAGCTTCCGCAGCACCGGCCCAGCGCGACTTCCGTCTCCCGAGAAACCAAACGGCACCTCGCTGCTCGTAGGCCGTCTCAACCTCCACTTCTCGCGCAACGTCGTAGACGGCTTTTGCTCGAAGCTGTCAGCAACCTGCGAACCAATGGCCGGAAGGAACTTGAAAGCACTATTCCCTCAACATTAGCAAAGTGACTAAACCAGGGGGCAATTCAGCGGAAGGGAGGGGGGGGGACTTACTGTCCAGCACCACCAGTCGCAAAGAACAAGCCCTCGAAGTCCGGGTGATAATCCGCGATGAAGTCTCCCTCAGGAGTATCGGTATACCAGCACATCCTCTTATAACACCACTCCCTCTCCGCAAACTCGGGGAAGAACAACCTCACGCCCTCCCTCAAATCTTCGTCCGCATCCTGCGGCAAATACCCAGACGCGGCATTACTCTCCTTCAACCGCGGTGTCGAAATCTTTCTCTTCCCAGCACCGCCCTCCTCAACCTCAACCTCCGTCGCAAAACCCCACCCATGCCTCGCAAGCTTTAACAAGTTCGTGCCCGGCGTCGGCGGGAAGCAGAACACGCCCGTAGTCATGTTGATCATAACAGGCATATCCTTCACCCTCTCCGCCTCCTCAGCCGAAAGCTGGATGAAGCCCACGGGCTGCCCCGAAGCCGACATGGCGTGTCCCATCCCCGGAATAATCCGGTTCGTCCACGCCCCCGTCGCGAGAACAATCTTCTCCGCCGACAACGTCGTCCCCGCCGCCGTCTTCACTCCCGTAATCCTCTTCCCAGACCTCTCAAGCGAAACAACAGTCCCATGCCGCCCCGTAACAAACGACACACCCGCAAGCGTACACCGCCCCGCGAGGGCCCGAATCGCGCCCGCCGCATCAGCCCACCCGCCCACAGCATTCAACGTGGCTGTGAAATCGCTCAAATCAGCCTGCACGCCCGTGTACCGCTTCTTGACCTCCACATCCACCTGCGGCGGCGCGAAAAACTCCTTGGCCGGCCGGCCGCCGCTCTCCCACTTGCGGAACTTGTCAAAGTAGGCGCTCGGCCCCTCACGCTCGTCGGCCATCATGACGAAGCCGGCCTCGTGGTAGTGCGGGCCGAAGAGCTCCGACGTCTGCCAGCCGTGGAGGGCTGTCGTGGCGAGGGCGGCGTAGTGCGGGTCTGCGTACTCTGTGCGGATGATGCGCGAGACGTCGACGGAGCTGCCGTCTGGCACGGGGGGGAGGAAGCGGTCTAGGACTGTGACGGAGGTGTAGCCGCGGTTTGTTGTGAGTTCGTAGGCGAGGGAGAGGCCGAAGACGCCTGCGCCGACGATGAGGATTGGTGAGTCTTTGGATGTCATTGTGGGCTCGTATAGGTGAAGGACACCCGTAGTAAAGTATCGTGGAAAAAAGTGAGACCTTTACAGCGTTCCGTTTCTAGAATTTCAAAGTGAATACTAGAAGAGTGAGCTAGATGAGTTTACCTCAAAGTAAATGAGCTTTTAACGACGTGCGACTCTCGCCATGTTATACCTATCAACTTACCTCAACAATCAACGTCGGCGCAAGGTCCGATGGGATGCAAGCCGGAGTGGGAACGGACCGGTTTCCGTACCCACATTTTACCAGCCGGGCGGGGGCTGGGTGGAGTTCATCGCAAGTCGCAAAGCAAATGGGAATGAAATACAACGCCCACAAAGGTGGGATCCGTTGGGCCCGATTGCCAATCTGGTGCCATGCCGTCATGTCGGGCTTCCGGAGTCGGAGCTGTGGGGACTGGAATTACGGGCCTCTCTGCAGGGCAGGCTGAACTGGTCCGCTGGAGCTCCCCGGTGTGGGTCCGGTCCCGGGGAACGCTTTAGGTAATGTGTGTAGTAGATGCATCATGCTGCTGCTCCCACCACCAAGAAAAGCGACGAAACTGTAGAAGACATTCAGTGTCAAAGAGTAAACGAACAATTCATAGACGTGCTACCGACCCTAACCCATCCTGAATAGGTACACCAGCTAACCAATTGAATATCCTTGCCTAAACACTACACATCAATTCTTCACCCCCTCATACCCCAGTATATATCTCCCTCTTCTCTGTCAATCAGTGAAACTGATCCTCCGTCACGCCCTTACCCATGGCAGCGGTACTGCTGATACCGCCAGTAACCATCTTCTGCAGCTCGTCGACGTACGTCGCGCCGCTCCACTTTTGGTGCTTGACGACGTCGACGCCCGAGTCCATCTCGGGCTCCTGCACGAGCTCGCCGTACGCGCGCATGCCCTGTTGGCTGTATGCCTTGGCAAACTTGTCGCTGATGAGCGCCGTCGTGTGCAGGCCAGCCAGCGTGATGAACTGCCAGCAGTAGCCGAGCGACGCGAGGCGGCGGATGTACGTCTCCTGCTCGGCGCGGGGCATCGCCGTCTTCCAGTTGAAGGAGGGCGAGAGGTTGTAGGCGAGCCTAGAGGAAAAGCAATAGTTAGTTAACCAGTTTCTTAACTAGGAGGATTCTTTCTTCGCTGGCTGGACTGTGACTTACTTTTGCTCAGGCCAGACTGCGTGAACGCCCTTGGCGAACTCCTGCGCCTGCTTGAAATCGGGCAGCTTGCTCTCCATCCAGATGGCGTCGCAATAGGGAGCGTACGCGATGGCGCGGTTGATGGCGCAGTCGCAGCCGCCCTTGAGGCGGTAGTAACCCTCGCGCGTCCGCGGGGAGTCCCAGTCAAAGTGGATGTCGGCACCGAGGATGCCCTTTGCGATGGCGCGCGCCTCGTTGTTGCTCTTGCCCTTGGCGGCAGCGGTGTACTTTTGAATCAGGCCGTCCTTGGTAGACACGGGCGCGGCCTTGATGGCGTCCACGACGGCCTCGTCGAAGCGCTTGAGGTTAGCCTGCTTCAGCCAGTTGTCCTCGATGGCCTGGAGCTGGTCGCCCGTCTTGCCGGTCAGCTCGGCCGCGATCATGAGGTCGTTGAGGGGCTGGAGGCTCGGGTTCGTGGAGCCGAGGATGAAGGCGTGGTCGCGGGGGTCGATGTTAGTGCTGAGGAGGGTGGCGGCCTCGGCGTCGGTGCGGGCGACGGCGACGAGGTTGGAGCCCATGATGTCGGCCTGGGCGCGGATGGCGACGAGGCGGTTGATGTGCTCCTGGATGGGGACGAGGACCTTGCCGGCCATGTGGCCGCACTTCTTGGTGCCGGGGGCCTGGTCCTCGATGTGGATGCCGGCGGCGCCCTTCTCGATGAAGAGCTTGGTGAGCTTCATGACGGCCGTGAGACCGCCGTGGCCCGTGTCGGCGTCGGCGATGATGGGTCTCAGGTAGTCGATGTTGGCGAGCTTGGCGCGAGCCTCCTTGGAGACGCTCAGGCGCTCCTGGCGCTGTTTCCGGTCGTGGAAGAGCTGGGCCATGAAGAGGTGGGCGACCTTATTAGGTACGGTGGTCTGTGAAGAAAGGTTAGCCATGGAATGCCAACACAATTGGTTGTGAAGGTGAGCAACTCACGTAGGGGTAATCTGCCAGATCTGGGCCGGGCTCGTCCGAGGCCGAGGCCGTTGACGATGATTGCCAACCAGAGACGTAGACGGTGTCGAGGTACTTGGCCATCTGGGTGACCATTGTGGGCTCCAAGCAGCCGTAGGTGTAGCTGGCATCCTTGTTCTTGAAGCGGTTCTCGAGAATCTCAAAGAGCTTCTTGGACTGGGCGTTGCTCGGGTAGTCAATCTTTAGGTGGCCTCTCTTGGAGACAATCTGCTCGGCGGTGAAGGAACGCTTGGTGTTTCTCCATCGCGGCTCGCTCCACCACTTCTTGACTTGCTCGACTTCCTTCTGGAAGAGGTCATCCTCGATATTCGGGTCCACGGCGTTGTTAACCATGTTGCCTGAAGCCATTATGGGCAATGTGTGACTTGGGGCTGGTGGAAAAGATGATGCTATTCCGAAAATTTGTAGCGTAGGAGATTTCTCGGCGATGGTACGCTTCGAGAATGGGGGTATGTGAGAATCGAGGTTGGACAGGAATACCTAGATACTTGGCAGGCCAGGAACAAGACGATGTAGCACCAGACTAATGATGCTATTCACAACTCAATTGACAAATGATCAACGAGTTCGAGGGAAAAGTAGAGATGCTTGGAGGGGTAGAAGAGGAGGAGAAAGAAAGTCAATCTTGGAGGAGTCACAAGCAAAAAAAGAAGAGGTCACGGCAGAGCATAAGAATAAAGAAGCAAGTAGCCAAGCAGAAGCTAGGCCATGGCCGCCATCGGCAGTGTTCGGCCAAAAGGCGTTCCTGGACCAATCGTCTTACATCTGTTTCGAGGCTTGTACCTCTGACCTCTGGCCCAGGCCAGCTGATGGACAGTGTGAAGAACATCAACGCGGTAAGAGTGACTCGCCAGCCCCTCCATTCGCCCAGCCAGTCACATAGGGTTGTAGGCATGGGAAAGCATAAGGAGAGAGAGAGTGTGTCTATGGTCTTTGGTAGGGCGAACGAAATCTTGGCTGGGTGCCAGGACCGTGGGTAAAACAAACCTCGGAAGCTGAAAATAGTTCGGAACAGGCTCCTGGAGCAAGTACCAGATACTTTTGGATGGCCCTCCTCTCCTCGTGGTCTGTTCCGTAGAGAGGAGGATAGGTAGCGGTGGCGTGGCACCGGTTCTCCTTGACGGTGTGGGGGAGCGGAATGAATGCTCTGCTGTGTGAGTGAGTGACTGACTGACTGATGGACTCATACTGTAAGTAGGTAGGTAGGTAGTAGGTAGCTGAATGTCTGACAGTCAATCTGTTAGTGTGAGCACTGAGAGAGAAAGGGGTGACGTCGGGCGAGAGGTCTGGATTCGGCTCAAAGGGGATGATGGATTTGGGGCGAAACGCAGCCAGTCTTTCCTCATTGCCGTCATTGGCCGAGTTGCCGAAGCTCCTTGCATGTCCCCCGCCGTGCCCCGCCATACCAATGCCCTCTCCCGCTACCGTACCGTACCTGGAGCCTGGGGAAAGGAGCAGCCAGCAGCATTAGCAGCAGCTGGGCCATGGGAAAACATTCTGCAACCCGACTGCACGCAGCTCCCGTACGTCTGCCGGCCCCCGAGATTCTGCAACGCCATGTTCCGTCTTGTCTGTTGTACTCGGTGATCCAGCTCATCTTTTTTTTCTTCTCTCATTTCTTCATCAGCATGTAATTGCGAAACAGACAGGTCATTCATCAGACAATAACACTTAGCGTACAAAGTACAAAGGTCGAAGCTGCTGCCACTTCCCCCAAATTCCTTGCGCGGGGTAGCGGCTCTCGAACATGTGAAGAAACTGTGCCTGAGTCGGCAGCCATTCCAATGGCGCCGGCTTAACCCAGAGCTGATCACGCTTCCTGGCGTGCGTCACACTTTCCGGCCTCAGCTTCTCCAACTCGGGGGAAACTTGGAGAGAGATACCTCGGCCCTCGACACTGTACTCTGTACGTCTCGCCGAATCCAGCCGCCGTTGCGAAGATGCTTCCGGAATCTTCCTACCCTCTTCAAGTCATTCAATAGATCCTACACAGTACATCAATGTCAGTCACATGTCCTGCCTTACCTACCTCACACCACGCACCACAAGCCAGCCTCTTGCCACACTTCTTGAAAGCTACATGAAGCTTGACGAACCTACCTGCTCTCACGGAACTTGTCCGATCGACACGTGCCGAACACGTCCTTCCCGTCACTTCGTCCCGTATCACCGTCTTGTCACGTCAACTTTTACAAGTTTGGATCGCATTGGGTGGATATCTGCCTTGGCTTTGCAGCCAGTCTAACCTCTTTCAACAGTCTTCCAGACCCTGCCCATTCCTTCATTCGTGTCTCTTGATGCAGTCAACCTGCATGGTCATGCATCTTCCATTTAACGTCAGTCCTTTGCAAACTCCTTTCCCAACCTTCAATATCCGACGTGCCGCGGCAAGATGTGAGAGCAAATGCAGACCCCTCTCGAGGCCAATCCAATTCGACGACCCAAGACTCGACAACAGGTCCTGTACCGTTTTTACCAGCTTTTCGTCGTGTTTTTGATGGCCCATCGTATACGTTTTGTGTAGCTTGGTCTCCTGACCATGACAGAGCCACTCAGAGAAGCTCAGCAAGTTGCTTCTCATTGTTCTCTTCAATGGCCTTCACAAAGGTCTCATATGGGGTGAGCGTTCCAAGAGCACGGCGCATGTGTGCATTGACGATTTGCAGTCCGTAGACGTAGCTGGCGTTGACCCATCCGAATCTAGTCTTTGTTAGCAGATTGATCACAGAATATCACAGACACAGACGACATACCCTTCCTTGGCGACACCCTTGAAATCGAGACCCTGGTTACCGTACTCGGCATCGACCCTATGGGGATCAATTGGTCGAGTAACGTCGTACTTCTCGACAACCACGCCGTTGAAGTCAACAAAGGCCTTGGTCATCATGAACAGCCACTTGTACGCCAGACGCTCGGCCTCGTCAGTGAAGCTGTAGCGAACAAGTCCAGTCCAAGCAAGCATCTGCTGAGGAGCCCAGCCGTAGGGGTAATCCCACTGGCGGTTAGGGCGCTCCAGGCCAACTTCACCCCGGGACTTCTTTGTGCCCGACAGCAAACCGCCGACAGCCTCGAACTTGGGCAGTGCCTGCTGAACCATTGCTGCCGCTTGCTTGGGAGATGCCACGCCGGCCCACAAAGCCCAGAAAGTGGTGCAACTCTCGTAGTCACACTGCTCCTTCTTGGCGGTGTTGTAGTCGAAGTACATACCCGCCTCCTCGTTCCAGAGGTACTTGTCAATAGCAAGCTTTCTGCGCTTCGCCCGGCGGTCCCAGATTGCCGAAGTAACCACCTCGCCAGCCTTGAGCGGTCCAACAGCGAATTCGTCGGGGATGACGAGCTTATCGTTGAAGACGTTTCGAATAGTGCGGGCAATGTCAGTCTCGTACTTGAAGAGAAGCGAGTTCAAGTCGATGGTCGCAAGATCAGCGCAGATCTTCTCCAGTCTGTAGGAGGTATCGTGGCCAGACTCACGCACAGCTCGGTCGTGCAGGAAGTAGTCGTCCAACTCCGGCTCCTTGATCTTGCCGTTGTTGTAGGCCTGGACGAACTCCTGCCAAGTGATGCCATGCTTCTCGGCATAGGGCTCGAGGATGTGGACGAAGTGGTCTGCTTCCGTCTCAGGGGGAACACCTAATCCTTCAGGTCTGTATCTCGAGAGACCAGTCACAGGGTCCAAACGAGGCTCGGCGATCCAGACACTGTGATACTCCTTAATGGCGGCGAGCATAGATGTGCGGAGGAATTCCTTGGCATCGGGCTCGTGCTTGATCTTCTCGTAGACGCGGAGGGCCATGTCGGTGAGGAAGGGGGGCTGAGAACGGCAGAGGTAGTAGGAGCGAGTGGCGTTGAGGACTTTGCCGTAGTGACGAATACAGAAACAGAAGTTCTGCACCATCGACTTGGCGAGATGGACCTTGTCATTAACCAAGAGACCAAGGGACTCCATGTAGCTGTCCCAGCCATAGAGCTCGTTGAACCGCCCGCCCGGCACCACAAAGGGAAGACCCCTGAGTGTGTCCTCGCCCGTCTTGGGATCCTTGATCTTCTCCATCTCAACAGCGAGAAGGCCAGGCTTGGCATTCATGTCGCGAACCAGCTCGGGAGTGATGACCTCGGGAAGCCTGACAACATCCAAGCGGATCTCTGGGCGATCTTGAGCCACCTTGGTATAGAACTCGAACTGTTCCGGAGCTCCAACGGGAACATAGATACGCGGGCGCGGGTCATCAGTCCAGTCCTTGGGATCTCTGGCTGCAATCTCCACGGTCGAGGCATCAATTCTTCTCGTCAATCCCTCCCAAAAGTGGTCCTTGATAAGTCTCGACAATCGGTTCACGGGGTTCTCGTTCAGGCGGCCCTCGTCGAGGATGATCTGTTTGCGGCCGTATTGTTGGGCAAGGGACAACTCTTGCAGCAGGTTGGAAAGCATGTAGGTTCCGCGGACATCGAATCGGTTGTGGCCCGCGGAGGCAGCGGTTCTCAGCGACCAGACCTGGGTTGCATCAGTATCAGCTTCGTTGTCTACTCCTGGACAGTAGGCGACGGCCATGGGATCATAAGCATACCTTGGGACCATTGTCCTCAATGGTGATTTGCATGTTTCCATCGGTATCTTCTTGAGCCTGCAAGCTCTTGAGCGTCTCGTCTACTTGAATGAGGAACTTTCGGTTCGCAAGGATGGAGGACTCGTCTATAAAATTCTGAGGTCAGCACATCAGCAGCGCAGAGGGGTAAGAGAACAGTAAGCAGGAGTGGACTGACCGTGACTGCCTCTTCGGAAGGGCTCGCGAAGTCCCATACGCTCGAATTGTTGGAACAAGCTGTTCTAGAAGAGGAAAAAAAATTAAGAGTTAGTATTTACCACAACTAGCCCCAATGGGTGACAACAAGCGGTCAGGCAAGCAGTATCGGCGGGGTGGGTAACGTACCTGTGAATAGGTTCTGGTTCGAGGTCCAGCACGGTTGACATGGCGCTCCTCTGAGGTATAGTAGGTTTTCGCATCGTCGAAGACACCATTGCCTTGGTCTTCGCTGCCACCACGAGGGCGGCGTTGACTCGTCGGAGAAGTCATTGTGCGCGGGTTAAGCGGGGTCGTTCGCGGCGATAGCTGGCAGGATCGGGAAGCGGAAAGAGTCAATTGCTCGTCCTGGAAGGTAGGTCGCTGAATCCGTGCTGAGTGAGGGTAGACGCCGAGCTGGCCGCAATCGAACTTGTAGGAGTATCGAACGAAAGGAAGAAAAAGATACTCGACGGCGTGAGAATTGGGGCGGTGTAGGGAGTTGACTCGGTGAGAGAATGGGGGGAAATTGATGTGTGTAGGAATCCGTGTCACGAGGACCCCAATGTGAGTGGGAAGAGACAAGGGCGCGGCGCGGGATGTGTTGGCTGATGCGGTCTCAGGTCTTGGGCCAAGCAATCAAGGTACCTCCGTATGGCAGGCGCAACAGGCAGGAAAGGAGGTAATAGGTAGGCGGGAGAGGTGTCGGTCGGTACGGGTAGGTAGGGTTGCAGCTGAAGCAAGGTACACAGCTTCCTGCAGCTGACAGCCAACAAGTTAGCACACTTTTGCTCTTTTGCTCTTTTTTTTTGGTACCTTACGTTTGCAGAATGTGCGCTCGTACTATAATAGGTGCTGCAACACTTTTTCTCCGACGTGGGACGGAATGGCTTTTCGGAGATGCTAGAGTGAAGTCGTGCGGGTTACTCTGTCGCGTCTGTGTATTTTGTGTGTCGTCATAGGGAAAGAACTCCAGAGATACGAGAGCCTTCACCACTCTTCTCGTGTGAAATCCGGTTCCAATTCTTTAAATGGAGCCAAGTCGGGTCCCAATGACGCTATCGTGCCAGACGTTGCTTTTCCAGCGGTCTCCCCCACGCCCGGTCCCCCATCCTTCTCGCCTCGCTGCACGCTGTGGTGAGAGGTGCCGGGTAAGGCGTGGGCCAAGAACCTCTAATCAGCCAATCAATCGTCTTCGGGCCATCTCCGATCCACCCCGTCCTCTCGATCCAATCAAGCCCGGCTGTTCCCCGCTCCAGCTCTGTATCACGTGGATCCATCTGAACCGTCGGCCCAAGCTTTCCTGCCCGCTGTATCACCACAATTCGAGGTTCACCAGTGATACTCGGGCAAAATATATTACAAAGCTCTAGGCTCGCTCAGCTCATACGTTCGTGACATTGCAGTCCAATTGAGCCTCATGCAACATTCCTCAAAGAGCTTGCATCGGCCTCCGTTGCCCGGTGGAACATGGTTCAAGTTGGGGTAGGAATGTGTACCCCGCGGACTCTGAGACCCTTGAATATGGCGTCGCTCCATCCGGACCAAGCTCCTCCAAGAACTGTCAGTGGAGTGTCCGCCGCCAAGGTTCCCATCGTTGCTTTTTCTTTTGTTTCTTTCTTTTTCTCTCTTTCGTCAGCCAGCACTGGCTTTCCAATTTCCCCAAACACCCAACTCTCATTCCACCCAACCCCGCAATATCTCACTGAGATTCAATGACAACGCATAAGAGATGTTGAAATCTGTCAAGAGCACTACTTGCTACATTTTCAGGTATACTAGGAAGCTCAGAGGCAGTTAGTATGAGGTTAACATGGAACTTTCAATGACTCTGACGTCCCAGCACACAGTCGGACAGCGCCCTTCAACATGCTGTAGGGCGAAAGAGAGGTGCCATCTGACGGCGTCAGTGAGGAGGTACTGATCAAGACTCCGAGACTATTGTCAGCCATAATCGCCCATACTCTGAGTATTGCATTGATGTGGCCTGTTTCAGGTTGCAAACATCAAGAAGAGCATTTGCTAATTCATTGACGCCCTCGGGATCCGAGGGAGGAAACGCAGCCTGACTTACACGCACAGGACTGGTAATCTTACTCAATAGAAATCACAAGCCATATGGTACACTGCTTTTAGACTAATTCATTGTTCTGAAAAGTAATGAAAAGTATTAGAAATAGACGACCTGTTTGCAAAGTCTGACTTTGAAGTTTCTCTCAACCATGGTTGACGATGCCCTCATAACCAAGCGTTCGCCTTTACCAGCAGTAATATCTTTCACACCGTCGAGTCATTCCTAGCTAAGATCTCTCATAATTGTTGAGCAATTGGGCTTACAATTGAGTTCACTCCATCTTTTAGCATTCCACCTCATTGTACCATGGTCCGCCATGAATGCCTGAAGCACCATGACCGAGCTGGATCGGGTGGTCCCTTTCTATATTTCCGTGTGTGCCTAGTCTGAATGTTCCCATTGAACGAGTCAGTTATCTACATCCATGGCTGTGATTATTCAACATCGTCTCGATAGCTATGGATACATCTTGTGTGATGTCTGTCAACTGCATTGGTTTTGGTCCACCCATGCTGCTCAGGGCATACATCCAGTTTCACTCATTTCATGGGTCGTGGCTCGACATGGTAAAGCGTGTTAACGTGTTAATGTAAACTGTTTATAACCAAGTTTCCATGCGTACATCGAAATACCCCTACGCTGCTCTAATACCTCGTGTCCCTCACATGCCCGAGTGACTTCTCGTCGCCTTCATAGCCACGAAGTCCGAGATATGTTTTACCCAAAGCTTCCAACTCCTGAAGGCGTGCGGATAGCGAGGCTGCGAGACTCGCACCGTCTCCGTGTTGAATTCGTACAACACATGGATGATATAGACTCAATCGTTGATCGTGGAGAGTCGCACCCTGATGGACATCGGTCACGGCCCTACGATCAAGACCCGGTGCTTCACTACTAAACCTATTCTCGTATTTCCGTGAAAACCTGCCCCAAGGCGGTTTGGCTCCGGGAGAATGTGGCCATCAACACAAACAGGTTTCTCGTTTTGATGATATGATTCTCGCAGACGGAGATTCCCGAGAATGGACCTGTATGCTATGGATCAGCTGCTTTTGTAGAGTAATAATGTGAAGGTCGCCAAGTCGGTACAAGTCAGCCTCCAGCTAAAGATGGTGACCTCGTTGCTCGCATGTAGTCGACCCGACAGCTCCAAATCGGAGGGGTTCCACATACGTTAACAAGTTGCCACACTCAATCGGACTCCGTACATGGCCTTGATACTGAATGATCAGAGTCGACGAAAGTTGGTGCCGTAGTGACTTCAGGCATACCTGGCTCTGGGCTTCGACACACCATTTCCTGTCGCCGTGACAGAGGAAGCAGGTCTCTTGAGCATGAGGGACATGTCTCATTTATCATAGAAGGATCTTCTCGCACAGCAAAGCCTTCTCTGATCGCCGTCCAAACTAGCTGTGACCTGTCAGCTGTGGTGTGTTGTAAGCCATCGGCGGCCGTCGAGAAGATGCCCGTAAACGCTTTTCAACGCCGTTATTTGTGTCACTTCAGACCCTTATGCGCATCTTCAGAAATCATAACGAGATTGTTGTTCATTAAACTACATATTCCAACCAAGATGGTCGACATGGAACTCAGCTCACCAAACTTCACGGGAACTGCTTCATCCGGCACCGGCTAGAGCGCTGCTAGTGCGAAGGGGTTTGATCACAATAGACTCCATAGTACCACAAGAAGTGACGTGAATCACCCAAAGCGAATCACTAGATCATCAACTCACACTCAATAAGAGCGATCACGAGAGCCTCCGAAGAGAAGGATGTTATGGCACGGCGCCAGCATGTACACAAGGACGATCAGCATGGAAACTGGAGATGATAGAGAGCTGTGTAGAATCGCTTCTCAAGTATATACCTGATGCTTCCTAGTTCATTCCCCCGCCTAATGAGGTATCAACTACAAGCGCTGTGTTTGCATCGCCTACAGGACGCGAAGGCTGTAAGAAGTGAACTCATGGAAAATCTCGCATGCTCTTTCCTAACTTGCCTTGACAAATAAGTAACTATGTAGTCAAATAGGCTAAAGATCTGTCCATCTCATAGAGCCCATGTAGGTCGTGGGGGCATTTTCATGAATCCCATGGTTACTGGAGGCTCGTGTGAAGCCCACGCAGAATACGCAAGGTGAATAATCTGCAGAGACGGGGGCACCTCGCGCTGTGAATACAAGGTCTCCCGTATTTCTCAAGTGAGTCGCATTCTTATACACTCAAGCATGCTACTCAGGCTACTTAACGCTCGTGCGGCTCACTCCCAGTGCATGGAAGCTCACTATCATGGCTTTGATACCCGGCCACGGGGAAGGAGCGAAGATAAAAAGAGAATGACACTCTTAGTGTAAAAAGAGTTCACCTCGGTAGGCTACAGCTCTTGTTTCTCATGCCGAGAATCGAACTCGAACTCGGAGCCTATCGTCGAGTAGGCTGTGGGCGTATTCAATTGTTGAACTTTGGCCACTCCACCACCCAGACAGTCTGTCCTGACCCGTCGATCTAGACGGGCGCCTCCTGGCTGGTGACTGGAATGGAGTTGGTAGGGTATATATGGGCTTCGATTGTGGTGCATTCTGTGTAGATGGGATGAATATACATATATTCACGGGATCATCGCATAGTAAGCGAAAATCACGGGCGATATGCCGGTTTACGTGCTGCTCGCGTTTCCTCTCTCATTTCACCAGATATTAGATCTCCTTACATGGTCTATTCTAAGGTGAATCGTACTCATCGAGCTGGCTTTGGTAGGGATTGGAAGCTAGGCTGTCTTTTATACGGTGGTGGGATATCTGGCGAAAGGTTTTCACTCAGTCTCAATCATCTGTGGCTTTCCTAGCCCATGAGGGCCATTACCACTGGAATGTTGGGACACTGTCTTTGTAACCCCGAGTCCTTGGTCAGCTAGCTGCTTAACCGACCATAGTTCCAGTCACCGAGTCGAGAAGACACGGCGTAGGCCCCTAAGCCATGTACACGATACACAACTCTTTGCTGGTCCATAGTTGATCTACAGTGAAGTGAGTAAGTTTCCAAAGCGAAAGCGATTCTGCTGCTTCGAAATATGGTCCTCTGACTTGAAGCCTGTAAGTTCTCGGCTTAGATAAAGTCTCGTTCTCACCACTAACGTCAATATCCACAGTGCATGCTATATGTATCTTGGCAGCAGTAGTAGAGTTTATAGGACATGCACAATCTCTATTCTCTCAGATATCTCATTAGTGCGCTTCACATAGACCACTCAACCTTTGCGGTCGAGCCTTAAGTCATGGGATTAGTGAGTTGTTCATTACCCTAAGTCAAAGGAGTAGGTGCTCGCGACTGTTGCCATTCGCGGAGAC